CCCATAAGGAAATGTTTATGTTAGAGGAAAAGAATTCCTCCAGACCAGTGTACTCTGTAATACTGAGCCTAGGCTTCCTGATGTTTGTTTGCTGTCATCAAGACAGACCAAACAGCCTGAAGCATGATGGGGATGTTTTCTTCACCCTAGGAGACTTTTATTCTTTGAGTCTTTAAGCCAGCAGTAAAGGCACGTGTCTCCAAAACACATTTAGATGCAAGAAGCAGTATCATCTGACTCTAATGCAGTGGTTCTCGGTCTTGACTGCTCGTTAGAACCACCTGAGGAGCCTGTAAACATTTCAATATAGAGGGCTCACCCAAGACCAATTACATCAAGATCTCTGGGAGTAGGACCAGGCAGTAGTAGTTTTTAAAGCTCCCCAGGTGACTACAATGTGCAACCAAGGCTGGGAAGGTCCTAGTGGGAAGAGCATGATGTCAGAAGTTAGAAACTCCTTAGCCCTGTATCAGTTTTGCCACATGAAGATAAGTGAATTTAAGGTAGTCACCTAACCCTTTGTACTTTGGTTTTCATTTCTATTGATTGACAAAAATATTCCATCCTACTTTATGTTGCTCTGTGGTTAGCATGAGATAGCATGTGTGAAAATAGAACATGCTGAGGCAAGTTGGTGCTATTAATTTTTTTGGATGTGACCATCCTAGCAGTGGAAAAAAAAAATTCAGGGCAACCTCTACAGATGTTGGATGAGAGGTGTATCACAGGAAAAAAGAAGCAGAGTAGAAGCAATGCCCTGGAATCTGCAGAAGGCACAACAGAAAAGGAAGAACTATATTGTGGATGCAATAGAGGATGCTTTCCTACCACAGATTACAAAACTGCCACGAATGCAAGATATCATCGTGATGAAGGAATTTCAGCGTGCAAAACTTCTGCAAAATTACATGATTCCTTTCTTCTCTCTGTCTCTCTCATGTCCTCATTCTTTCATTGTTTCTCTCCGATCAGTGTCATTCGTTGAGCACCTTCTATATCTAGACAATTGGCTGTGAATGGGAGACAAGAAGACACACTGTGGTAAGCTCTTCAAGGAGTTTACGGACAAGTGATAAGAGACAGATGAGTGAAAAAAAATCATAGGGATAAAATATAAGAAGTGTTAAAAGTTTGTACAAAGTACTGTGGCATTTTCATCTCTCGGATGATGGAGAAAGCAATGAAGAAAATGAGTCCATGATATAAAACTAATGGGACTATTCAGGAAAGATGACCGTGTCATTTGGGGTTTCATAATGTATAAGGAAGAGACAGCCATACATATTCAAATGTAAAATGAGGAAAGGCAATCTCAAAAAGTTTAAGAAAAGATGTGAATTATCCTTAAATAGAAACCTCAAAAGGAAATAGCATTCGTGAGAGATTAAATTTTAAATTTTGGCTAAGAGTAATGAAGAGTCCCAATGAGAAGACATTACTCAATCTCTCTATGTCTGCTTGACCATCTGTACAGTGGGTATTCTAACAGTAACCATATCTATTTTACGTGTGCCCAGCGTATAAAAAAAATTCTGGCTGGACATAGCAGGCTCACGCCTGTAATCCCAGCACTTTGGGAGGCCAAGGCAGGTGGATCAGTTGAGGCCAGCAGTTCGAGACCAGCCTGGCCCACATGGCAAAACCCCATCTCTACTGAAAATACAAAAATTAGCCTGGCATGATGGCGCATGCCTGTAATTCCAGCTACTCGCTGGCTGAGGCATGAGAATCACTTGAACCTGGAAGGTGGAGGTTGCAGTGAGCCAAGATTGCACCACTGCACTCCAGCCTGGGTGACAGAGTGAGACTATCTAAAAAAAAAAAGAAAGAAAGAAAGAAAAGAAAAATCTGCTAATGTTAATTATTGTAATAATCTAAAGGACATAATAAGGCCTCACAAGAACTCTGGGGAGCTAAGATTTACTTTTTTAATGGAAAGGAGGAGCATATATCCAAATACCAATAAAAAGTATTAATAAAGTCTATAAGAATATGTATGTATATGTGCTTACATGTGTTTGAAGCAAGAAAATTAAGGAACAGACAAAAACATTGCTGGTGAAAATCATGTAAAAAAGGAAACTATTCAGTTAAAAAAATTTTTTTCTATCAATGGCAAATGTCATCAAGCTAAAAGGGGTAAATTCATCATTATTAAGAAGAAACCCCAGGCTGGGCACAGTGGTTCACGTCTGTAATCCCAACACTCTGGGAGGCCAAAGCAGGAGGATTTCTTGAGCCCAGGAGTTTGAGACCAGCCTGGGCAAAATGGCGAGACCCTATCTCTACAAAAAAATTTAAAATTAGCCAGGCATGGTGTCGTTTGCCCATAGTCCCAGCTACTTGGGAGGCTTGAGTGGGAAGATCCCTTGAACTCAGGAACTGGAGGTGGCAGTGAGCTATGATCATGCCACTGCACTCCAGCCTGGGTGACAAAGTGAGACCCCCATCTCAAAAAAAAAAAAAAAAAAAAAAGAAGAAGAAGAAGAAGAAGAAGAAGAAGAAAGCCCCAGACAAGGGCAAGACTGGTGGACAGCATCTAGCTGGTTAAATAGTTCAAGACTATAAGCTAAGCCCAGAACAATAATAAGAAATAGGAAAATAGATAAAGTATGTATGGGCATATGATCTGGCTTAATAATATTTCAGGTAAAAATTACCAGTGCCTTAAACATAGTAGGTTTTTATAAATTATTATACTTTAAGTTCTAGGGTACATGTGCACAACGTGCAGGTTAGTTACATATGTATACATGTGCCATGTTGGTGTGCTACACCTATTAACTCGTCATTTACATTAGGTATATCTCCTAATGCTATCCCTCCCCCTTCCCCCCTCCCCCCACCACTCGACAGGCCCCCATGTGTGATGTTCCCCACCCTGTGTCCAAGTGTTCTCATTGTTCAATTCCCACCTATGAGTGAGAACATGCGGTGTTTGGTTTTCTGTCCTTGCGATAGTTTGCTCAGAATGATTGTTTCCAGCTTCATCCATGTCCCTACAAAGGACATGAACTCATCCTTTTTTATGGCTGCATAGTATTCCGTGTTGTATATGTGCCACATTTTCTTAATCCAATCTATCATTGGTGGACATTTGGGTTGGTTCCAAGTCTTTGTTATTGTGAATAGTGCTGCAATAAACATATGTGTGCATGTGTCTTTGTAGCAGCATGATTTATAATCCTTCGGGTGTATACCCAGTAATGGGATGGCTGGGTCAAATGGTATTTCTAGTTCTGGATCCTTGAGGAATCGCCACACTGTTTTCCACAGTGGTTGAACTAGTTTACGGTCCCACCAACAGTGTAAAAGTGTTCCTATTTCTCCACATCCTCTCCAGCACCTGTTGTTAAACATAGTAGGTTTTTAATAAATCTTACGTGAATTTGATTGAAGGTGTAGGCTTATAATTAACCACAAAATTAAGAGCCAGTGGTGATGTAATGTGAGTTCCAGAAAATACTAATGCAGGTCTGAGCTGAATTGATAGTGCACAGAGCAAGGGAGGTAGCAAGCCCATTTGCATCTTTGCTTCAAACCAATTCAAGGTCCTGATGCAGTTCTGGACACAAACTTTTATAGGAACATCAAAACAGTTTATCACCAGGACATTAAGGATGGTTAAGTATCTAGAAAATCATATCCTAAGAAAAAGTTGAAAGAACTGAGGCTTCCCCGTGAGCTGTTAGAGGGCTCTCTCTCGTGGGAGAGGGATGAACTTAATATTGCTCCAAAGGTTAGAACTAAGGCCAGTGGAAACTCACAGCAATCAGATTAAGGAAGGACAATGTAACCCTTATCTGCCAATGGAATGGGCAGTCTCCCAACTACAAAGTGGTGCATTTTCTGTAGTTGGCAAGTAATTCATTCAGAGCCTGGATGATCATCTATTGGAGATTCTTGCTTTGTGGAGGATCAAGCAAGGTCTTTAATGTCATTTCCAACTTCAAAATTTCAATTTTCTACTTGAAAAGTGCTGAGTTAGAATTTTGTTAAACTATGATGTCTGGGTTTTATATGAGTTATTTTAATACTTTCTTCATTATTGTTGCTAAAAACAAAATTTCTCTTTTTAAATTTTTATTTATTTATTTTTGAGACAGGGTCTTACTCTGTCACCGAGGCTGGAGTGCAGTGGCACAATCTCAGCTCACTGCAACCTCTGACTCCTGGGTTCAGATAAGCCTTGTGCCTCAGCCACCTGAGTAGCTGGGATTACAGGCATGTGCCACCATGCCTAGCTAATTTTTGTAATTTTAGTGGAGATGGAGTTTCACCATGTTGGCCAGGCTATGTTTCAACAAATTTAAAGATCTAATTGGCTTGCATTAGTGATTCATGAATCAGGCAGCATGTCATCTTAAAAATAGATAAGTAGTCTACTGAGCATGGCAGAACAGTTAGTTTTTATAAGGTAGCTAGAGCAGGAATAAGAAAACAGAATAATACAAAAAATGGATTGGTTAACATAAGGCACTTCAGTTACTTTCCTTGTAAGGGTTAAAGCACAGGGGACTTCCTTACCATGCCACTTCAGGTTGACTGGGCCCCTTCTGACTGGTGGCTGTGAATCTCTTCTTTTGAAAAAACTGATCTGTTTAAGATTGTCCTGCTTCCTTAAAGTTTCAATTTTATTGCATGCCACTTAGCATGACTGACTCCATTTTGGTTTGGTCTGTTAATGCCTAGGGTAGGCGCTCAGTCCAAAACAATGGTCTCCTATAAATTTTATTTAACATGATAAAGGATATATAATGTTTTTCATTATAATGAAAATAACTTCCAAGTCACAATCTACTGTTTCAAACAATATCTAATATTATGATGTTCCAATAAAAGCAAGTAATTTGGAAAGTTTCTAAGCATTGTAATAAGACTTGAATTATATAGTGTATGTTATTGCCACATATCAACTTAGTGAGAAGTGAATGATTTTTAACTTTTAACTATTATTAAAGAATGTATGCATAGCTTCTTTTTTAATATTCTAATTTCAGTGCTCAAAGATCCAAATTTCATTGGACAGTATTACAAATGGAAGAAAATGGATCTACAGCATCATAAAGAATGGAATTTAAAGTAAGAAACATTAAGTGCCTTGAATGTGTACATTAACTTGAATTGTCCATTATTGCACTTTCTACTATCCAACTTGGAAATAACAGAAGAAACCCTTGGAAATAACAACTTACACCCTTTTATCAGTATAAGAACAAGAACAAAAGAAACGATCATTCCTTGCTTTCACATGAACCCAGGTAGGCAATATCTCTGCTACATATTTGCTGCCAAAGATGGAGACAGAACATGATCCACAGTGGAGAAATCTCATAATATCCTCCTCATTATTTCTCTTACTCTCATTTCCATCATCCTTATCAACATGTGACTTAGAAATGGCTTTCTTTAAAAAAGAAAAAAAGCAGTAAACTATACATCATCAATTAGCTTTTCATCCTTTTTTTTTCATCCTTTTTGTAGCTCCAAACATTGTTTCTTCTCCCACAGATTTCTCATTCAAGAACCAAATATATTAAATGTAATGAGGAAGGATATAGTAAAATACAAACAAAAATTAGTATATCTTTAGAAGTCATTGACTCTTAGACTACATTAAGGAAGGAACCTTAATCTCATCTTTGGTCTCTAGACCCCTGAAGGCAGTTTTTCTGCTTCATCATGTTAGAGCAAAGATGCCATTTCAGTTCTGTGGTATTGGCTGTGTTGTGCTAGTCATTTGTTCTGGTGTGCTTATTCCAAGGTACTCAATGAGTGTGCTACCATAAAGATAGGGGAATTAAAGATCCTATTCTTTGCATTTGTCTCATTTATCTCAATTTTTAACTCTTCAATTTACTGTTAACCATGTGCCCTCTTTTCTAGATGGAAATACATGATGAATAAAGATAATGTGCTGTATTTTGAATTTGTGAAGCAATTGAGGAATTGATATATTACTTTCACTGAGTATATTAAAATATACTTCCCTATCCTTTAACATCATATAGTTCAGACTGAGTTTTTCAGTTGTATTTTCTTTCTTCTGTTGATTCTGTAACAACTTTCAAGCTAAAGTAGAGAAGAGCTTTTGCACTGGATATGCTTTTCTTCTTGCAGGGTAAATTACAGGGAGTAGGAAGTTTTTATCAAGCAAAATTTGAAGGAGTATAAGCATGTTTTTCTTCTTGAAGGCATGTTTTAAGTTTCTTTTAGAGTTGAAGAAACCTACTTAGAATATAAGGTTAATTTTGCTTTGACGTGACTTTCTTTTTAATTTCCTTTAACAGAACTGTTTTATTTGTTTGATCATCGATTCATTATGTAATGCCAACATCCCGCAGAACCCCAAAATTTAGAAAAAGTAGAATCATGTCATTTTCAATTTATCCATCCACTTCTACATATGGCTAAAATAATTGTGAGCTGTTTGAGTGCTGGAACATTTTTCCAAATACATTATTTCAAAGTTACAGGTCAAATTATCATGTGCATAGTGACCCTGTCAAAATAAAATCCTCACACCTTATGCCATCTGGTGGTTGATGAGAATATATTTAGATCAAATGGTATTTGCTGCTTCAAAACGCTGGTGTTGATTAGTCAAAAACCCCACTATTTAAATAGTTTTAAAAATATATTACATTTATCTGCATTTTATTGTGGCACAAATATTGACTATGCAAATGTTAGAGGTATAGTAAAATCTAAAAAATCTGAAGAATGGCAAAATTAAACTTCTTTTCAAATTATCAAAAGTCGTGTTCGTCAAAATACATGGGATATGATAAAGAGGACAATTCATAGAGAATCAAGTAGAAAATGTCTGGGGATCTATGCACATGAGTAATATTCTGCATGCCATATTATGCATCTCTCAGTTTTTAATCTTTGAAAATGCTTTCCTGACACTGCAATTTCCTATTTCAGAAAAACAGGAAATGTAAATTGAGAACCCTTTCTTTGCATAGCACTGAAGAAAAAGAGAAACCCGTCTCTCCTGCTACTTCCTTCCCTACCCTCATCAATCAATACCCTATTCTTAAGCCGCACTGAATTCTCTTTTCTCACAATTACTTTGGGACCTAAGACCTCTTTACCACTTTGTACCTTCTGCCTCGAATCAGCGAGGTCTTTGCTGCTGGTCTAGAGCTAGGATTTGGTTAGTTAAAAGGTGGAATGTGGAGCTCTTAAGCGCAGGGGCACTGGAGCCAGACTGTCTGGATTTGAATTTTGGCTCTGCCAATTACGAGCTCTGTGACCTTGAGCAAGGTCACTGATTTTTTTGTGCCCCAGATTTATCTGTTAAGTGGCAGTAATAAGTGTACCTACCTCCCAGGGAAGGTGTGAGGATTAAATAAATTAATATATGTAAAATGCATCAAACAGTATCTGGTGCACGGTAAGCACTCATAAAGTTCGTTATTATTCATGCTTTTAAAACTTTACTGTGGCCCTCATTCAATTTTCAGATGAAAAATCTTTCTTGGGAAGCAGGATGGGGGAAAAGCATGAGCTTCAGAGTCAGACAGATCTTGGAGAAATTCTTTCCCAATCTGTTTTCTTATCTGTTAAATGGAGATAACTTTACCTACCTTGCAAAGTTGTTTTGCATTTGACACTTACTATTTTATATATAGATTTCATTCAAGAGATATAAATATATGATTTCATTCAAGAGATATAAATAAAAAATTATATATAAATATATATAATATATAAGTTATATATATAAGATAAAAATTAATATAGCATCACACATAGGCATTCGATACATTTTAGTTCCTGGGGAGAGGAGGAGATGAAAGTTCATGCCACCCAACTTTTCAGAGAATAAAAACAATCTGTTGGAAACATGTAAAATTTGTCTTTTCTCAGGTTAGAAAACAACATCTATCATAACCACGTTTATTGTAGTTCCTATATGCCTCTGATTCTTTTTCCTTCTCTACTCCACCTCCATCATTTCTTCTGCCTGGTAAAATACTTCACAAAGGTGGTGTGAAGAGCTGAACCAAATGTCTTTCTGTGGACACAGTCACTGACAAGCTCAGGTATTCACAGTTACCCCATCCTCTCTCTCCATATTCTCTGTTCCCACGTCTTTCAGCATGTGTGATGTGGAAATTCATCTGTTCATGAAGAGGGACCAGGGCACGGATGTTAGTGTCCCTTTGCATTCTCTGTACCTAGCATGGTGCCTGGCAAATAGTAGGCACTCAATTAATGTTAGTCGAAAGATGTGTCCTCACCCTGTTTTTTCAATTAGGATTAAATGTGAAGGCAGTTAATTTTAGAAAAATAAAATTTAGTTACAGACTTTTAAGGTTCATCGTAATGTAAAGATTTAGGGTTCTATTTTGGGAGTTCTAAGGTGTAGTTGGAAACAGTGATTGAAAACTGGAAATGTAAATGTCTGTCATGAATGTTTTATGCAAAATCTCTGATTTGGCAAGTCTTTGTTACTATTAATAGAAACATTGTCATTATAAGCAGCTCATAAATATTCATTAATCAATTATTTGGTTTGGTGTTCCTTTCTAAGGCCTTTTTTCTTTCCTATTGCCTTGAGTGTCTTTTGTATTTATGAAAATGCTTTATTTCTGCTAAAGGATATGAATCTGTAATCTAATCAGTAGTTTGTATTTAAGTTCCCCAGAGAAATAGTAAAAGATATAAAATCAGAAAGCAACGAAAGCTGTTCTTTTGAGTGTTCTTGGTTATGCACATATAAAACTATGTTTGTGCCATACTCTAGCTAATGATTGCTTCTGTGACAACAGAAAAATCTCTATCAGTATTCTAAGCTTTGGCAGCTAGCAAGTTGTTTAAATAAAACTTATCAGTTCTGGTGGTGGTTTGCATTCGGTGTCGCTTTAGAAAAGAATATTGATTCTTGTTTATACCGAGGAGCTATGGAAGGAACCGGAACTAACATGGCTGAGTGCTTCCTGTTTGCCAGGTATTCTCCCTTCATTCGTAATTCATGCTGGCCATCTTGTGGAGTTGACAGTCACGTGTGTAAGTGTAACCCACAATAATACCCATCAGCCTCCTTCAAAGCCACAACAAATCAAGTGTACTCCAAGTCAGACCACTTTGCTTGCCTTGCTGACAGCCCAAGACCTGATTCCTAACCTCCTTTTCAATGGATGGTCGCCCCTAAGACCATCCCCCAACCCCTGATGCCCCAGACATTCTGTAAAGGTAGAGACAGATATTATCCCCCGTTTACCAGGAGAGAAATGGAGGCACAGAGATTAGCGAGTTTTCCTCAGGTTATTGATAAACATAAATTTTATTTGCAAATTTAAACTGTTTCTTACTTTAAATTTGCCTCCTAATATATACTTATTAAAAGTTTAAATTGTTCAGGTAAGTGTAAAAATATTGCCTACCCAATTGCAAGTACAATCAAGTCTACCTTTTGTGAAAAAGTCGTGTTTTTTCTCAATATTAAATTCTATTATGAAATAATGTTAGTTCTTTTTTTCTTATATGTAAAAAAAGAACATCTGTGCAATATCAAATACCAATAAAAAAACTTTCTTATATTTGTAAATCATACTCTGGACTTAGTTGTCCTGTCTTTTAAATTAAGGGGCTAGTCCATATATTTTCTACATTTCTTTGGTGTCTGATTTTGTGAGCATGTTTTAACTCACAAAAGATAAGTAATCTTTCTTTTGGTATACCTATGTTTGATCCCCTTTATATGGAAAACATTCATGCTGAGTAGATTCTTTTAATATATGTTTGTGCTGTCCTTTCTGGGTTATTGAATTTAAACATGGTTTTTACAAGTTTACATAATTATATATTTAATGCATTTTTAAGTAGTGCTCCTTGTTTTATTCCCCAAAATTAAACCTTGACTGCCATCTTGTGGTTAACAAGTGAATTCGCATTAGAATGGACATTGCCTGTATTTTTAAACACAGACGTGGGAAAAATTATAAACAAAGGGGGGAAAATCCTTTAGGAAAAAATGACTTTTGCCAAGCAACTATTTAGTCTCTGCTTGGATGTTTTTAAATATAGGAAGCTTGGTAATTCAAGAAGCATTAAATAGCTCTGATCCT